AATACCAATTCACACGACCGAAAAGTTCGCCTTCCCCCCTTATGACGGCATGTATCAAGATTCGACAGAGTTTACCATTTTGGGCTTGCTGCTGCAGTGCTGTAGCTACGGCGAGTGTATATAGCAATCGATGATGGAGGTGGGGCTGTTGGACGATCCGGCATGTCAGCCAAGTCAAATTCTAAATGCTTAGTAAGGTCTCACGACTCAAAAAAGGCATCATGAAAAATTCTCGTAGTAATCACGTTTGCTTTATTCAATCCCTAGCTATTTCAAACTATACGTTGGGTTGATGAACGTTCAGTCATTGTGCAATCCGATAATAGAAACACAGCGTGCGCGTCGTCGTCCTATAGTGAATAGTTGTCGTTTAGGGGAATCATAGGTACCAAAGGAAGAGCAGAGCATGGAGACAGCTGCAATCGAATAACGGACGTGAACAGAAGCAGAGCACACAAACAGATGAGGTCACAATCTGGCTTTCTCCCTTTATATTCCCTATCAGGTTGTCGGTATAAAGTTCGGTCGAGAGAGAGGGGGTGCGATTTTCGGAAAGGGGTACGGAGAGCGGTGGCGTTTTAAGAGAGGGGAATCGAGGGATGGGGGATTGGTTGTTGTGATACACAAGGGGTGGGGTAACAGGACAAGCGAGACAGAAGATTCTAGTTATCGAGTCGATAGTCGAGGTTGCTGATGGTGGCAAAAAAGGTCGGTTCGGGACATGTCGAGGTGTCGATGTCGATCTGTCGAAAGAAACGTCGAGGGCATTGGCGACTTTAATAAACAACAAGGGCGAATAAACAGCGATTTGTAGTTGACCTTTGGTCCGGACGACGACGGAGGAACAAAGTGACCTATAAATAAGTTTTTTTTTTAGCAGAACTGACCAAGAGAAGCGGGAGCTGGAGTCGTTTGTCGAAACCGAAAGTTGCAGTCGAAGTCGATAGTGATAAAAAGCTCGAGGTTGTGAGTACAGTGGATATCGGTCGAACTGGGCGAGGGCGACATGTCGGAGTCGAGTCAAAAGGGAAGCGTTGAGAGTCGGGGGCGTGTATCGAAAGAGATGATCAGGTGGTAGTCGGGTTGGAGAAAAAGAGGACAGTCTGTTAAGGCGATATGAATTGAATAAAAAATGAGGTTGTCGAGGGCGTTTGTCGGCGCGATTGGCGCTTAGCACATTACGGGTTGGCCATCGCAGCCAAGGACCATGTCCATGGCGCCGCATCCTTCACAATGCGACCACATTGTGCGCTTGCCCTCTTCGTTTGCATATTGAGCGAGAATGAGCTTGGGAATTTGGGGGCAACTAGAGAGGCGGTTGTCAGTGCCGGTGGCAAAGAAAATCCGACAAATAATAACATACGCGCAAGAAGTATTCCTGGTTCTAGGCTGGAGCGCCGCGATGCTCGAGGCATTCGAGGGATGGCGGTTGTTCGTCACGTGACCGTGAACTGGATCCGTGGACGCTCGGTTGATGGGACTCGAGGACCCAGGCGAGTTCGAAAAGGTGTCCTCGCAGTCCATGTCGTCGCGCTTGACCGGGAACGGGTACAGAGTCTGGCTCGTTGGAGGATAAGCCCCTGTGTACGAATGGGCGTCAATACACTGTCTAGACTGAATAGAGAACAGGGCTCCCATAGGGCGGACTGGGCCCCCTCTGCGATCGAGAGGCACGGGACAAAGCAAGATGGATAGAAGACTGACCGGTGAACATGGGCGACGACCGCTCGCTGTCATGAGGGGAGATGCCGGACTGCATGTCGTCCATCTCCACGTCCATCTGACCCTGCGCTGGAAATTCCGTGCGAATCGCAATTCGCTTCACTGCTGGTTGCTGTTCAATAGAGTGTCAGTGCCAATACTTTTATTTGGCGCAAAAGAGGAGGCCGGCCACACGGGCTGTAAACAGCACTAGAGCAGAAAAAACCCAAAAATACTGACAGGGTGGACGTCGAATTCCTCTTCGTCACTGTATTTGCGTTTGACCATGGCTGATTTTACAAGAATTGTACGGGTGCGAAGGACGGTTGGGGTTGTTTGGGGGGGTGTTGGGCGTCTGGGCTCAGGCGGAAGTGGTGGAGAGCAAGTTGGGCAACTGAGGCTGGTAGGGTGAAAAGGACGGTCGAGGAGAGGGTCAAAGTGGATTCTAGCGGAGCTTCGATCATTCTACGATCTCTATGGCGGCCTCTGGACACTGCCACCACACCACCCTCGCCCCGCAATTAAACATTATTCACAGCGCATAGCGACCAACTCTCTCCCCCGGGCACCTACGACGACGAACTACAATCATTATGGATACCCTCGAGGACCGTTTCTGGGATTTCGCGCAAGACCGTCTCCCATACGCCGTGTATGATGCCCTGTACACCTTTTCCGGACACGCGTACACCGTGTTTCGCTCTGTAAATAATGTAGTTACATGGCTATACAAGTCTGCGTACGTACATACTGCCATATTCTAATCAGCGGAAGCTTTTCTAACGATTCTTTACAGGAGTGGGACGCAGCAAATCGATACCCTCTCTATTCAAGAGCAAATTCTACCGCCCCTATTATCCATTATTGCCATCTATTTCGGTCTTATGACCGTGTATCGTACGACGGCGTCGTTTGTCCGAACCGTCGTCTCCATCGTCAAATGGTTTTTTATCATCTCTGTGCTCGCCATGGGAGCAGGCTATTTCGCCGCTCAAGGTCCTCTCGATACCAGTATGATCCTCAGAGTAGCTTCCGAGCTCTTTAATGGCCAAACTCGCGTCCACGCTACAGGTGACGACCCAGCTGCGCACCCTGGCAGCTACGGAGGGCGCACACAGACCCAAAAGGGAAGCAATCCAAAACGTCGACCAAGCGTTTTCGAACCTTTTGCGAGTCGTCAAGACTGGAAGGACGGCCAGGCATCAGCGGAGGAAGCGCAAAAGTATGTCAAGCAAGTCGTCGACAATGCACAAAAGGTCTACAAGGACGGCTCGACATTCCTCGACCTCATCTTTGGTCGCTCTTCAACCGGGTCGGATGGAAAGGACAAGAGCGACTCTGATGGTCGAAAGACGCGGTCCCAAACGAGGGAACCGCGACGCGCTAGAGCGTAATGGGCATGGAGGAACCTCAATTGAGCGAAGAGAGTCTCACATTGAAGCAGGTCTCACTCTTCATGTTTTTCTTATTGGAATTTTACACGTATCACGCCCACCTTAGTCAATAGATCCCGAGCCGAGTCATTTGCACGAAAATGTAATGAAAGGATTTTTGCAATGAAATAAGTATATACAAAAAAGTGTCCTGACTCCTCCATCGCAATAGGTATTTTAGTGGGCAGCAATTGCTTGAGCGGCCTGTGGGTGTTTCTGGCGGTAACTGCAGATAAATTGATGAGCAACCATCCCTCTAAAGGAGACTTATAATATACATACTCCCAGATACGGTACAACTGTGTTAGTCCACTCATACCGACGAAAAAGTTGACCTGTAGAAATCGTGGGGTTGAGCATGTCATTTCGACCTGGAAAGAAGACGATCCGTACAGCACCAAGACTGTAATTGATTGGAGTAATAACCATCGAGTATCTGACCCAGATGAACCCAGTACAAGCCAGAGCTGTTACGGCCGAAAGGGGCGGATAGAAATGATGATGATGAGCATGGCCGTCGTAATTTTATAATATAATCGAACGTCTTACCCGCATTTTGAGAAACGCTCAATTTCTCAGGTGGTCTTTGTAGGTCCTTGAGTCCTGCTGCGACAAGACACCATTTCATCAATGGGGCCCAGAAGAAAACGGTCCTGGGGCCTATAATACATTATATATTGAGAAGAGAAATGCTTAGCAAATAGAAACAATGGCTCGTGTGCAGTGTAACCTACCCGCAGGATGATTCATGAATCTTTGGAAGCGGGTTGCTCCTGCAGCAGCGGCTTGACCAGACATATCGGATAGAAGGAACAAGGAATCGAATTAACGAGGTTTTTTGAGGTAGTGGGTTGACCTTGTCGAATTTGTTGGTATTGACGGGCGGTCAACTTCAGAGTCAGGTGTTGTGGACCTTGCCCCAAGCACACGACCTCTGCAAGCTTCCCCGCCTCAGCTGACAGATTTCAATAACGTGTGACACAAAGTGGACAAAGAAAGCTACTTGGGTTTACAAAGACCATAATTTTCAGGAATATCGTTATGCGCTTCCTACCTTTGCCTGTTTCCCTTTTGGTGCTTCTCTCGGGATGCCTAACTTCCAATGCTCTTCCTCCTGCTGAACTTCCAGAGACTTCATGGCTTGAGAAGTTCTGGAGATTTGGCAAAACCGACCCTCCACTACCGGTCCCACCACCGCGCCCTCTGGTAATCTGGCATGGATTAGGTATGTCCGACTCTAGCTATTCGTATAATGCTGAATCAATCTCAAGGTGACCAATACATGTCACCCGGCATGCTCGACTTCATCCAACTTATCAAGTCGATGCACGAAGGTATTTTCGTCTATGCCGTTCGCATCTCAGATGAACCAAGCTCTGACCAGAGAGCTGGCTGGGTACGTTCTGATATCTTATTGTGCAAATTGCTGGCTGACACGTCCTATTTATACGCAGTTCGGCAATGTGGATGAGCAGCTCGCCCAAGTAGCAGACGCAATTTCTGGAATTGAGGAACTGCAAGATGGGTTTGATGCTATGGGTTTTTCTCAAGGTAAGCATCTGCAAAAACAGTCTTCTCCAATACTGACGCGGCCCCAACAGGCGGCCAGTTCCTCAGGGGTTACGTAGAAAGATACAATACCCCTCCTGTCAGAAATCTCATCACATTTGGGTCTCAGCACATGGGTATCTCTGATTTTCCTGGCTGCAAGTCTACAGATTTCTTATGTCGAGCTGCGCGAGCAGCCGCAGCATCTGGAGTGTATACCCCATGGGCGCAGCATAACCTCGTGCAAGTTCGTATTTATTTGAATTCCTAATGCATTCCTCACGATGTTTACTAAATCTTGACTGTAAACAGGCCCAATATTTCCGGGACCACAAGCATTATGCGGCGTATCTACAAGCAAACTGTTTCCTGGCTGATATCAACAATGAAATTCCCGAAAATACGGATGACGACTCTGAACCTCGTTCTCGTAATGCGACCTACGCGGCTAATTTTGCTTCATTGGACAACTTTGTAATGGTCTTGTTTGATCAAGACAAGACCGTCGTTCCCAAGGAGAGCTCTTGGTTTGGATCATACAAAATACCAACGGATGACGACAACAATGAGGGAGGGGAGATCATTCACATGAAGCATCAGCCCCTTTACAAAGAAGACTGGATTGGCTTACGAAAGTTGGATGAGGAAAGCAAGGTCTTCCCGATTGTCTGCGAAGGAGAGCATATGCGAATCGTGGAAGAGTGTTGGAAACCCATCGTACAACGTTGGGTAGGCCAAATAGATGTGAAGAGACCCAAAGCACGGCAGCCCAGCCGTGATGCAAAAGTGGCAGCAATACCCCCCTTGATGATACAAGATTGGTAACCATCTCTTATCATACCTGTATGTAACCTTGTTGGATCTATAATGTACAGATTCGGTCTTTCATGAAGTATATGCTGACATTTCTGAAATCCGTTATTATTAATACCCAATTGAAAGGGCCTTCCGGGAAAACCTGACCATAGATAATTAAGGTTCATTATCTAGAAATGTCCCTAGGCAGATACCGAGTGGTCAGGGGCCTGCCCCAAGGGCCATTGGATTATAATAAGCCAATAAAAAACTTCCAAGCCACCCATTATTTGTAGCATTACAATAGAGAAGATGTGCCATTAAGTTTGGGGTCTAAAGTGTCGCGATTTCTGTGGTACATAAGGTAAATAATCGCTAAGTGGTAGGCATGTGTCCAGAGCTGCTTCTGCAGATATTGTATTTATTCCCCCTTCGGGCACGACCTGACCTCTTTCCTGATATGCTAATTCATCAAAAGCTCGCAGACTAATTGTTTGACAAGAGGGAGTGTGCAAGAGA